CGAGAATTCATATCGCCTGAAGTAATTCAATTTTCGTGTGAGAGGGAAGGCGGTGAGTGTAAAAGCTATTACGGCCTTAGGCCTCGTTCATAGTTCGCGACTCGGAAGATTAGGATAGTAGGCGACAGGATATCAGGATAGTAGTAGAGTAGGAGATTGCGCTGACAAGATCAGATACGTATCGATTGAAATCGTGAAGAGTAGTAGATTGGGCGACTTGAAGCGAATAGATCAATACATATCTAATCTTGTCAGCGCACTATCCTACTCTACTACTATCCTACTATCGTAATATCGCAATCGACTATTATCCGGCGATTTCAATCGATACGTATCTGATCTTGTCAGCGCAATCTCCTACTCTACTACTATCCTGATATCCTGTCGCCTACTATCCTAATCTCCCGAGTCGCGAACTATGAACGCAGCCTAAGACTGGTGTCAGAGTCCGCGATGCGTCGCGCGATTCGCGCAAATCTGAGCAAAAATTAGAATTTCCGTGAGTGGCAGCAACCACCACATAACCACCTTCCTTCCTTACTAAATGAGACCCGAAAGACTTACTAAACGATCAATTTAAAAGACTTATGAAAGTCCACTCACTTGTAAATGTAACTACTTCAAACTGGTGGAAGTGACAAATGTATTTTTTCGCGTTGATAGTTTGTTCTTCCAGCTGCTGTAGAGTACTCACTTCTTTCTGAAAATGTAAGAAGTTTTATAACAATGAAGTTTATGAAAACATAATGTCCCTATCAATCGGGTTCGACGATTTCAAGACAGCTCATGAGAATTTCTCCACAGAAGAACAAAAGTAAAGTACTTGCTAGCAGAAATCTTGATGTAGCGCTGCAAAATTGAGAGAAATTATAGAGTGCAAGTGTATTCTCTAGAAGGGGAGCATTGCTGCAGAATAGGTTGCTGTCCCCACAATAATCTCAAACTTTGCAGGATAGAGGGGACCTCTGGTGAGGTCTGTCGTCCAACGGGGACAGGGGGCATCTCCTGACGCAATTGTTCGCTCCGCTATTAACAAAAGAGAACATGGCAGAACCGGTCGTATTTATTTAGGCTTTCAGACACCTAACAAAAGAAGACTTCAGAAGATGTCAAACTGTGATGTACTATGAGCTGAATCTAACCCATCTGCTGCGTCTATACCATTTTTTCTGATGAACATGCAGAAGAATTGGCGCTATTGCAAAATACGAGGCTTACCCAAGCCTAGGAGAGGATGGGCAGGGACCCCGGAAAAATGGAAACTACTCACACACGCTGAAGTCTTCCCCCATCCCCCCCCCAAAGAAAAGGCTTAGCCCCTTTTCTCATGAAAAAAAAAACAAGCGCCTGACGGTGTTTTTCGTGCGCTGCCGTCGCAATGCCCTCGTATGTTGCGATAGCGCCCATTTCTTCGCCGTCTTTCCCTCAAAGTAGTTCTTCTTCAAACTTTACAATGAAAGAAATTGTCCGTTGAGATTGTGGGCTCTTTGTATGAGGAGCCGCCAGCCCTATAATTACAACTAAACCTAAAACCTTTTTGTTTCTTAAATTAGCTACAGCCATGACAAGTCACGAGAATAAGGTTTTTGACCGAACTTACTAAGACACTGCCACTCCTGAGGAGGTCACGGGGTAAAACCAACCGTATGCAACTGCTTTTTCATGGAACAGAATCAAAATGAAAGAGTTTGATAAGCTTAACAACACGTGATATCGGGGCTTTGCAATGTTTATCATGCAGGAATGGTCTGTAATAGAGAAGTGCTTAGTATATCCACAACAAAGAAGCACAATTGATTTATTCCAGAGAGAAGAAAGAGTATCTGGCGGAACAGAAACCTTCACATTGTTGTTGCCAGCACTGCACACGATGTAAAGCCACCACGATGGCGGCGAACGAGCTTCGTTTTTTCGTGCGCGGGAACGCGTAAATTTCAAATCGCGGTGTGCACCTGTGCAGGGAGACGCGGGGTTTTGGGGACCCAACCCCGAGGATGGGTCCCCAAAACCCCGCGTTGGGCCATGCTGCACCCGGCCCCGGGGGAAGGGGACCTATGGAGAAACGCAGTGGCTGTTGTGGTATGACACGACCAAGTTTTTCCTAAGGGAGGATCTTCCTTCGCTTCATCCTGTCCACTGTCCTCACTCCGTTTTTTTTTTACCAAGAAAGGATGATGGGTCGAAGTGGCGCTTTGGAGTGAAACTAGGTTGTCCGGGTTTTTTCGACGCTGCATCTGATCTGCTTTCCAAAATGCCAATCGAGCTTCTGAATGGAAATACGAAGCGAAAAGCAGCGGTAGTGATCCATGCTCACGGGCGAGAGGTCGTGGGATCGATTCCATGCCAAATGATATGGCTGCAAATTTGCCTCTCTGGCATATCTCTGAAACATGATTATCACATTTGTCAGGTCTATTCCAGTTAGGGGGGGGGGGGGGTGGATTCATTATGCAGTTTTTCCAGAAAGCAAAGGTAACTCCTAGCCAGGGGGGGGGCAACGGGGGTGATGGTGAAGGCAGTCACATGCGTGAAAAGCTGGAATGTTCGAGTTCCACAGAGTTCGCCTGAGAAATGCCTTGCATCCATGATGCCGTCCCCTATCTGGGATAATAGACATCCATCATCGTCCTGGCGGTGCATGCAAGAACCTCTGACAAGAGTTCTGCTGGATCCATCCATGTGCAGTCGTTAGCAAAAAGTGTCAAAACTTGCCAGAAAATACTCGCAATCTTTTTACAGATATGGAAAGCAGATTCGAGATCAACCCCCAAATACATTCAACATTATGGGGCTCATTGCATATGGCCACTTGGACCCATCATCCTTTCCTGGTCAGATACGTGATGATTTCGACGGGGATCAGGACGAAGTTGCCAGTTTGAAGAGGTTTTCTATAGATTGTAGATCTACCTGTGGTAATACAGATAGATATTCCATCGACCTTGTTCATTCTCTCGTCGACTGTTGATGTTCGAGAATCTTTTTCAGTGTTCGACGTAAATAGCTTTCACTAGCTTGTGACGACTGGTCTAATGAAACGCAACCACATTATGAGCTGTCTGTGGACCTGCCCAACCCATAAAGCTTAAGCGGTGAAAGTGCTGCACTAGAGAAAGCAAGGGTAGCCCCAAACGATGAAAACCCTGAACCTATCTGGTGCCACTATCTATTACTTATTTGCTGCTCTGCCACATCACCAATACCTATATGTCTGGTGTTCTATTACATCCGCACCCATGTATACTTTGTTTCCAAAAACCAGGTGCTCGTCGAGTGCAGACCATACACCACAAGTGACGACGGCCTCCACAAAATGTAAATGTTTTCTGCCAATGAAATGATTAGCCTGTTGCAGTTGTATTCTATCAGTTGTCACTAATTACTATCATTTACCAAAAATCAGCTCTAACCAGATTTCGCTTGGAGGCCGTCGTCACTTGTGGCGTGTGGTCTGCACTTGACGCGCATCTGGTTCTCGTAAGCAGATGGTAACTCGTCGCTGAGGTCCTGCCTGCAATGCTAATCACCATTAATCAATTTCTTTGTGTCCGCAACTCACACAGTGCCGTCAATGATAAGGGTAACTACAGTAAGATCCATCATTTGACAATCTGTGTGATATTCACTTCAACATCCCGTAACCGGAAGATTCAGTCACAGGAAAGCCAGCGGGCTGAACAGAAACAACCGCAAGCGGCGATGCCTGCCTCAACCGGTGCTACGAAAAGAACTTCATTTAGGCTGTCGAAAGCCACTCCAAGAAGTTCACATAAATGGCTGCCTCATCTACTGCTACGGCATTCAGTGCTGAAAGACCTCTACCATTCATGAAAAGGCAGGATGTAAAGGGAGCGTGTTTGAAGTTATAGCGTGCCGGTGAAGTTTTGTGGACCTGTTCTGCATCAGAAAGAAGTCAAAACCCTACAGAGCAGACAGCCGCAAACTCGAGAAACTCGCGAAACATCTGAAAAATCTGAAACGTATAATGCAACTTCAACTGCTGAGTTCAATCCGAATCAGATTGTCACCACCATTCGATATAACGAGGAAAATGCCATGAAGCGCCTTTCACTCAATTTTGTTTACTGGAAAACGAATATCAACCCTGTCTATTTCGTAACTCACGCTTGGTAAACGTTTAGTTTCAGATAACGCAAGCTTTCTGCCCATTTATCGCGACTTGAAAAAGGTTCACGATCGAGGGGTAATCCCGCGTGGCACTCGTCAGAGAAAAGGCGAGATTACACGATTACATCACTTTCCAGTCGCGATGATATACTGTTAAATTTTCATGGATGGCGATGCGCGTGAACT